TTAAGACATTTATATTCTACAATTAGAGAGATTCACATGTACCCTTATAGGATGAACCATAGGCGTGATCCCACCAATCACCCTCCTTTTAAACTATAGTCTGGCCCTCCAACGGTCTGAGGGACAGTGAACTGGCCCCCTGTTTAAAATATTTGAGGAACCCTAACTGTATTTTAGTATAATACATTATAGAGTACTTTAAAAATATCATTTATACTGTTACCATAAAAGTATTAAGATGCAGATTCAGGCTTCCAGCATGTTCCTGGTGGCTTGGGGAGACTAGGCCTACACAAGCCATACAAGGGGACACGCAACTGGACCATCTTTCTGTTTGGTCCCTCTGATGCCAGCTGACTGACGTACTCCTCTCCCTACAAGCCTCCCAGCCTGCCTTGTGTTAAACCTCTGTGCTTTTGCTTGTTATCTCTGCCTGCAACATCGTCACATGCTGTAACACTCCTGTTCACCCTTCAAAACCCCATTCAGAGGTGCTTTCTTTGAAGCTTATAAATGGCTCCTCTATACAGGAACTGCCCAGTTTCTGTCCCTGTGCTTTTAAGAATTAATGCTTATATTAAACTCTATTAAAATAATTCTCCTGTTTAAAATCTCAGCCCATGAGCCGTTCCTCCACTTCCACAGCTGCTTCTGGCCTTGTCTTAATAATCTCTGTATCTCCAGGACAAATGAGAGGTCCTGGAAGAGAATGAGAGTTTAATAAGTGCGTCAGTAATAAACCCAGTTAAACTAGGCTTAACTGGTCCTCTGTCCAGACATGCCATTGCTTATGGATCTCAATTTATGAATTTTTATAGAACTGAGCTTTGGAAGAAAGTGCATCCCTCTGCTGTCCACCAAAGAAAGATACAGGGGGAATTTGAGGGTTCAGAGGCATTTCCGACATCCTCTCAGAATCTAGCCTGTTTCTAAGAGGACGCCCCTCTGCCGATCCGCCCGAGAGCAGCAGCTTGCCGGCATTTCTGATTATGACCCGCAGTGGGAAGAACTTTTTACAATGAGACCCGCTAAACACCTACATCAGAGACAAAGCTTTCATGAAACAGCATTTATCCTTGCTATGGGCATTGCTCCCATTTTCCCTATTTTTCTTTTTAGAAATATCTTGCCGGTCACCACCCATTCAATTGATTTCCTGATTATTTAGTCTCACCGGTTGCATTCCACAGTCTAATAAACATGGCCCTAGGCCTCTGGCTCTTGTAACCAGAGAAGGCTTCTCAGAAGGGAAGCCGCCTGGACCCTGATGTCAGCTCAGAGCAGCAGGTGGGCAGGCAGTGGGTGGTGGGGGCAGTGAGGACAAGGTGCCAGGCAGGTGTGGGGCAGACTCTAACCACATCCCTTGTCCCTCTCTTTGCAGCCGAGCCCCTGCCACTGATGGACCTGTGCCGGAGATCCGTCCGCTCAGCCCTGGGCCGCCAGCGCCTGAGAGACATCAGCTCCCTGCCCCTGCCTCAGTCTCTCAAAAACTATCTGCAGTACCAGTGATGTCAGGCACTGATGCACAGCGTGGCCATGTCCGGCAGGGCCATGCTGTGCTCCTGGCATTCATGGTCATGTGGCACACTGGGAAAAGGATCTCCCCACCCTGGTTCCCAGGACATTCAGTTCTCTGAAAGGCCAGGACATGGCACCAACTTTGGAAACAAAATGCGTGTTGCCAACAGTATTTACTGCCCTCGGAGCAGTCCTCCCAAGTCAGACACCTCCTTGGGAGCCACAAAGAGCCTGGAGCCTGGAGCCACATCTGGAAATCCTGCCCACCGACCAGGACACAGCGCCACCGTATTGATCAGAGAGCCCATTTCCTCATTCAAGAGAATGAATAAAACATTCAGGCAGGAGACTTTCTGCTGTGTGCCCCATTGCAGACAGGGCCAGGGGAAAACTGGCCGATACAAAGAGAAAATTGCCTCTGAATAATGAATGATGAGAGTGAGAGCAGCTTGGTGCCGTGTCCCCCCGGCCCCTACTCTGACCAGGACAGCAGGATGGCCATGACATTTTAGTACTTTTTGCCACTTGAGGAGACTGTTCCCGGGATGCCCAACCACAGAATTGGCATGTGGACAAAGCAGTGTGTGGCCACTTCCGCTTACCTCTTTGAACATGTTTACTTGCCCCTTTCCCCACGCTGTCCCTCCCAGACACACACACACATATGACACACACACGTTGTCTGGACCCACTAGACAGCTCTCTTCAGGGGGGACGGGTCTGACTGACTCACTCCAGGGAGGGCATCCTTATTATTTTAAGTACCATTTGTGTTTTAAAAGAGGAGTGTGGAGAGGATAGTACTTAGTCCAAAGGTGCTAATGGGGGAACAAGGGGCCCGGGGATGTTCTTGGCTGCGGAGCCTCCCTGGAGTGTCAAGGGTCTCTGGGAAGCCATTCATTCAGGGTGCAGCTTGGCTGTTGCAAAGCTTTATTTGAGTGAATTATTTTTTCACTGTAGGAGACTTCCACGAGTTTGTGTCCTGTTTGCAATGTGTGTGTGATGTGCTGTTTATTTATCAGCTTGGGGTCCACAGGGGTAGCCCTGTGACTGGAGAGGAGAGCGTGGGAGATGAGTTCTCCACCTGCTCCAAGCCTAGTCCTCTCACGGGAGAGTTGCCGCTGCTGCTGCTGCTGCTGCCGCCACCACCATTTGGCATCTCATGTGTGTGTTGGACCTGCTCTACCCAGACTCATTTTTAACTGGGAACAGTCACAGGAATGAGATCCCAGAGCCCCAGATGGCACTGCCTCCCCCAACTTTAATGTGAATTTGATGAATGAGGAGCGTTTCTAATAAAGTTTGTCATTCAGTCCTTCAGCCGTGTATTAAATGTTCCTTGGAGAGGGCCTGAGAGAGCTGCTGCCACCAACCTGGCTGGTCCATCAGAAACCAGGCGCATAATCCCCTTCCAGAGACTGCTTGTCTCTTCTGTCTTATGGTCCCTGTTTGAGCCCAAACCCTAGGTATTTTACAAAGGCTGCCCTGGGAGAGAGAATGTGCCTGGATCCTGGGGCCATGCAAAACTGGCCTTAATGGTAGAAAGACCACTCAAACTCCTGATGCCAGGGTCAGGCAGGGCAAACCTATGGGACACAGGTTTCCTGGGGGGCTGCAGGTGGGACTGAATGTGGCTGTGGTGAATGCATGTCACCACTGAGAAGCACAGAAGGGCAAGGATGAGGCAAGGCCAGGCTCAGGCCAGGTGGCAGTTCAGGAGTCAGTCTCAGGGTGGGATCTGGGTCAGGACTGACACAGTTCACAGCAATAGTGGCCACCAACATATACCGTGCCAGCCTCCAGGGACCGATGCTCAGGCTGATGTATCTCACCCTGAAAGATATTGAAAGATATTTACAGTGCTGCATAGTAAAGTGAGAAGGCATTCCTAGAGGGAGTGAAAGAGGAGAGGGTATGGAGGAAGGCTTCCCAGAGGAAGAGGCACTCTCTACACCTGCTATTTTAAGCAAGATGATGAAAAGAACCAGACTTGTGGCACCTTCCCCCAGGAGTAGTGTTCTTTCCCCACTCTGATGGAGGCTGGGCTTGGCCCCAGGCACCTTTCAATCTTTTGGTTGCAAGAGGCAGCTGGCTTCCTGCAGAGGCAAGGCCGCAGGCTTTGGGGTTAGCAGGCCTGGTTTTGAGCCCCAGCTTCATCACTTACATGTAGTGACCTTGGGAAAGTCACTTCCTCTGCACAATGTGGGGGCTGAACCAGGTAGCCAATGGCAAAGCACCCTTCTTCCCTCAACCCGTGGGGTTCCTGTCTCAGCACCAGCTTTCCAGCTTGGATGCATCTGTCTTGTCTCAAGTCTGTCATTTCCCTTACCCTCACACAGTCTCCTCGTCCTCACGTCACCCTCTCCAGAGTTTGGCTTGGATTGGCTCTCCTCCAGGAAGCGCTCCTTCACCGCTCCACAGTCTCTGCCTGCTCTGCTCATGTCTGGCCTGAGGACCCTCTCAGAGCACCTGGACTGCAGCTCCTCTGCCCAGTGTCCTCGTCTGGCAGGTGGTGGCCCCGTGGGGAGGGTAGGCCCTATGCCTGCTCCTTCCTGCACAGCCTTGGACTGGACCCAGGGCCTCAGCAAAGGTGTGACGGTCGTGTGGTAGGAGTGCCCATACCTGGGGTGCCCACTGGAAACTGCAACCAAGTCCAAAGCCAGGCTGGAGGTCCTCCTAGAGCTGGGCAACTGGCCCTGGGGCCTCCTGGGTCTCTCGGCCTTTCATTCTCTCCATCTCATGAAGTTACAGCAGAAATGGCAGCAACCTAGCATGGTGGCCATGTCCCAAACTAATTTGCCTAGAAAACAAGTAGGGCTTTTTTTCCTAGGAGAAGCCCTGTTGTTGGTTGAGCGTCCAGCCCAGATGGCCCACATTGGAGGATCAGGGTA